AGCATAGAAGTTACGGCCACATCTAACCAGTTCAACTGTAAATTGATGAGATCTCGCCGTCAGTCTAGTACTGCGCTTAAATTAATACAGTCTAGGCATCACAGCGAAGAGCTCATGTGAACAATTACAATGAAAGTATTTTTTTAAAATGGCGCAGAAAAGCAATATTACGGTGGTGGGCAAGTGACTCTGCCAGATCATGACCAATAATATTGCAGATTTTTATTTGAATCTTATCAAGAGGCCCCAGGTAAATCGCAGAGGCACCGGGCCATATATGGCAGCAATATTCTAAGCATGGACGAATTGTAGACATAAATATGCAAGATAGATTCCGGAGAGACAAATTATCTCGCACGACATTGTGAAATGACTTCTTACTAGCTAACCTTGCAATGGATTCAATCCTGAAATGCAAAAATTACAACGACATTACAATCAGGGAAATGAAGCCTCTAAGACGGAAGGGGTTACTGAATATGAGAGAACAATAAAAGAACAGGTATTATGAAGACAGAGGGTAAAGATTGACAAAAAATCACATCTTTCGCTTGCCCTAGAGCATTGTTTCTGGCCCCGGCATGTGATTATGAATCAAATGCATCTCAAAAAGAATTTTTAACAACAATAATAATAATTTTTTTTTTTTTTTTCTTGTCAGTGGAAAGTGTCATGACGCCATTTCTAACCTTAGGTCCCTGGGCGGGACCCGGAAAGAAATGTGTAAACGCCAGAAATCAAACAAAATAAAAATAATAATAATAATAATGATAATAATAATAATAATAATAATAATAATAATAATAATAATAAACAAAATGACTGACGTAACAAATATTTTTCAACAGAGAAGAGCGTGATTTAAGAAAAGAAAAAGAAAAGAAAAAACAATGACAATATTAAGCAATACTTCGACAGAATGTCTGTCTTCTTCAGGTTATAACATTTTCAAGTATAAAATATATAAATGTACAAAAATTATAAGTATTTGTACAAACATTGCTTGTCTAAGATTTAATACTGATTAAATACAGTAATTGTAGCACAAGGCCAAAAAAGGTGGATGTGGGTCAAGGCTGGTTGACAATATCCTCCTGTAGCTAGCTAATCAGATTCACGACCCATTCATTCGTTACAATTTACTTATTCACCATAAGAATCTATCCGTCACCATTCGCTCCTACATACACAAAATACCACACACACTCCCTCTCTCTCTCTCTCTCTCTCTCTCTCTCTCTCTCTCTCTCTCTAAGGTAGGGGGAAGGATAAAAAGATATTGTGGGAATTAGAAAATTAAAAAAACTGACCCAGTTGAGATGAAAAACTAGGGAAGTTGGGAATCTCGACTTGGATCGTTGGGAGAAGTTGGGCATAGGATGAGAAAGACTCTTACGTTAACTAGGTACACAAGAAGAATATTATTTTAACCAGGAGAGGGCTCCACAGAAAACCGCCCCGTTGTAACTTGGGGGACTTTAAAAAAAATCAAGGCTGACTTCGTTAATGCGAGCAAGGTGAGCCATAGTTACACACCTTTCGTTGAAATCTGTCGCTACTAACCGCATTCTATCACTTCTAATCTTCATCCTGAGCTGATGCTCAAAGAATTGCGATCAGATCCTGATGAGAATAGCGATCACATCGCAAAATTTCCAACATCCGCGTCGTTTAAATCACCATTCTAGCCATGGCCAGTAGCGTCAGAAACACCACACTTTCCACCCCAGAATACAAGGTCGACACATATGTATGCGCGATCAACGAGCACGAGCTTTTCGGGAGTGGCAGGAGCTAAGCCGATGACAGGCAAATCCGCCATGCCCCGTCTGTAGGCTTACGTCATTGAGAGGTAGCCTATTCTAACCCAATCGCCAGGTAAGCGAAAACTGAGGGTTGCTGAGATAATCCGCCACTGGCGCTCAAGACCAAAAAGAGCGCAACTCATTCGCCGACAAACCGATCCTTCGCGACCCCCTCAACTAACTCCCGTTAGAAGACTCCTTGGCCGAGAAAGGTTATTGGACCGAGGAATGACCATCAAGACTGACCGAGACTCGAGGAGGAAACCCGACTGATCCCAGGGCCTACGATGACACTCAGCCCTAGAAACAGGAGGAGTGATCGTAAGGCGATGGAATGCGGCCTTGAACTCCTCTCCAAGGTCGAATTCTCTATCAACGCGCGGCATAGGAAAGCCAACCTCGAGATGTGTTGGTGACTCGCAAAGTGGGGAATTCTCATTCCCCTTCACCCCGCCCCGTGACATGGATGTTGGGCACAGACTGTCGACGTGATGCTTCCGACCACCCCACAAGAGGGAGAAGAGTAAGCGCTTGATTGCTTTCTTACGTTCGTTACAGAGAGGAAATACAGCCAGCCGGTGAAGGATGAGAGGAAAACATGTGGCAAACGCCTCTGCTCTAACCTTCAAAGGCAACCGCCTTCGGTGCCTAATCTCGACCAACGCGCCGACCTTTACATGTACTTCTGACCAGTTTTTCTCTAGCTGGATTCCGGACTTGTCAGTCCAACCAAAGGGCCCCGGAAGATCGACTCCCTTCCAGACACCTAACCGAAAGCCGGAAGACTTGTCGCAGTTAATCTTGGCCACCGTGACCTTTTCATGCCGTTCAAAAGCCTTCAGCACCACTTCAATGTCGCTGCAGGGCGACACGAAAGTGGACACTTCATCGGCGTTCGTGGAAACTCTGGCTCGACCACACCAGGGACAGCGATTCCACGTAGGACTGGGCTGCACGCCATGACCCTCAGCCGGTGAACGAGAGGCTTCAACGCCAAAGCGTAAAGTAGGGTCGACAGCGGGCAACCATGACGAACTGACCGAGACAGCGCAAAAGCATGCGACCGCTTTCCGTTCACCTGCACCACAGTACTGGGAGAGCGATACAGGAGGCTAATACACCGGCAGAAATTGGTTTCAAATCCGGCGGCTTGCGGGACAGCAGCCAGCTATCGATAGCCGACCCTATCAAATGACTTGGACTGATCCAAATTGATTAGCGCGGCTTGCTCGTCTTTTACAGCCTCTAAGGATAGTGCAGATCAGATGCAGGTTGCTCTTAATTGTTCGGCCCTTTACAGAACAATTCTGCTCGGATCCCAACAGAATCTCAGCAACTGAGTACAAACGCTCCGACAGGATCTTGGCCATAATCCTTAACTCTGTGTTTAGTAGAGTTATGGTCCTATAATTATCTAAATCACGCCCAACACCCTTGTCCTTTTTCAACACCCCTGGATATCCGGTCTGGAACGGACCCGTGGCGCAACCAGTTGTTGATCACGGCAGTCAAAATCGGAACAAAGATGTGAGACAACCTCAAGTACAATTCATAAATCCCGGAGACTTGCCAATGCCGACCATCTTCAGTGCCACGTAAACTTCGCTCTCCGTGATCTCACCCTCAAAGCTAACAGCTTCAGTCGGCGAAAGCCGAACAAAGTCATCCAAATAGCTGCGAAATTCTTCATCACAGAGAGCAGATTCCCTGGTAAAACGGCTCGCACATGCCATCGGTGGACTTCAGAGTACGCTCCTGAATGTAACGATTGGAACCTCGACGGATTTTTTCCTTGCGCAGTGCTGCGCCTATATTCACGACTGTCGCCATATTTATTACACCGTTTCAGAAGTTGTACGCTCCGGCCTTCTTCAGGTGGTTGGAATGTCGAACTGAACCTTTTATTTCGCTCACTGGGGTAGACTGTTCTAGTTCTACGTGCCATGTTTGATGGATGTCAGTTATCAGTTATCTCCTGTAAATTCTCCTCTCCAAGTTCTCCATTGCCTTAACTGACACTCTTTGGGTCCTGTCACTGGATCTAACCAACGCTCTTTGTCCACTGTGCCATGTGTCCTTGAAGGCTGGAGCGTACAACGGCCGAAACGTTGTAATAAATATGGCGACAAAGATGAGGACAATAGTCCGAATAATCTAAATAGTGGCCAGAAAAATCACTTATACGTATATAAGAAAAAATTGAATAAGCAATTTAATCGCAGTTCATATATATATATATATATATATATATATATATCTATATATATATATATATATATATATATATATAGAGAGAGGGGGTGTTCATTAAATATATATATTGATATTAAATACTGACTGAACTGCGATTAAATTAATATATATATATATATATATATATATATATATATATATATATATATATATATATATGTGGGGCCAAAGTCGGGACCACAGAAGGAAAAACACGGAACACGGATTAGATGTAAGAAAGATATATTAACAACAGGTTACAGAGATAGTGTAAGCAGAGCTTACTATATGTTAGTGTCCAATACCGGTAGTCGTACGCGGCTCTCACTGTCACTCTCTGTGTCTCTCTAGAGTGTTGTGTCGTATACTTAATATAGACCTGGAAGAGTCTATTCTGTAGGTAGTTCCGGTCTCACAATAATATATATATATATATATATATATATATATATATATATATATATATATATATATATATATATATGAAGACTCAGTATGAACGCATTTTTCAGAGCAACAAAAATAAATTACAACGTATCAGGAAAACATGAGTAAAAATAATGCCAGAGGCGAAATACAATTGAAAATAGCTATAAAAGTAGCCAAAAGCGCTTGGGTCAATAAAAAATATGGAAAATCTTTGCACTTCCTTTCTACTACAAAACGGAAAAATGTAAAGATGGTGGAAAAAATTTAAATAAATTTTCCTTGTCGGCCTTATTTAATGAAAGATGTGAAAGAAACTTTCATTCATTAATGCGCGATATATATATATATATATATATATATATATATATATATATATATATATATATATATATATATATATTTCTGTAGTTCATATACAGAAATATAAATATATATATATATATCTATTTCTGTAGTTCACTGTTACCAGCAAGCAGAAATATGTTTTTAAATATATATATGTTTTTAAATTAGGATATGGAAATCCCGACAAAATTAAACGTAAGAAAGAAAACGCGAAAGGTAGCAAGTTGAAACGGATATGAAAGAAAGAAAAAAGAAAGAAAGAAAGAAAGAAAGGCAGCAAGTTGAAACGGATAAGAATGAAAGAAAGAAAGAAAGATATGGTGGATTGGTTGAACATTGGACGAAATTTAAACGAGGAAGAAAGAAAGAACTGGAACAGGTATGATGTGAGAAACAAAGAACATGCGAGCCAATTCAAAGATGAACAGACTGAAAAAAGCCCTCAACAAATCAGAATAAAGCCGAGTTAAAGTCGGCAATCCGAACTTTCTGAATTTCGGATAATCTGAACAAAATTTTAAAGTTCCGTTCAGATGTAATTTTATGACTTTGTATCTATTAAAAGTGATGGAGTTAATTGTTTTATTGCTGTTCTTATGACAATAGAGGGAAAAGAATTCAGCCATTTTGATCTCTAGTCGGCCATTGAAACAGAATTGAAGTAATTTTCACACATGGATAAAAAAATTAATATGGAATATATAAAAGCAAGTGAAAATCAATAGTGGTGACTTCATTTAACCTTATGACTTTGTTCCGGATACCTATCTACAAGTGTTTACTGCTCTTCGCATGTCGCTAAAGAGGAGATTGCTGGTCAGCTCAATGACACGCGGTCACTTTAAGTCGTGTTGAAATAATTCTAAGTTAGATACCGACACTTCATGCAGTCGTCCTTCATTAACGAACCTATCGACGACATGTGACTAAAACCACATTTCAAAAAAAAAAAAAGAAAAGACGGTTATTCCCTTGACGCCTCTATTACTGTGCACACTTATAAATTCCTATTTATTTGTTTATTGTTTTAAAAAGCGATGATTTGAATTTTAATAAAGCCCAAATATATTAGAGTGAAATTATACGTTTTATTTATTCTTGAGTATTGACAGCAATAATTCATTGTTAATTTTATAAAATTATGAAAAAGAAACACACAATACGTTTTTATAGTTATTTATAAAATAGTAAATCATAAATATTGCACTATAGTTGGTTTACATATTTTGATAATTTTCTATTTTTAAAGATTAATTTATGAATAAAAAGATTTCTTTTCAAATGTATTTCTTTATAAAATGGTAAATAATAAATCTTTAGAAAAGGTAAATAATAAATATTGCATTGCATTTGGCTTTTATATTTTATAATTTTGTAAACATTGTCATGGCATTCAGTATATATGTGTGTGTTTTGAGCGTGTGTCTGGTTGTATATATGCATGCATGCATGTATATATATATATATATATATATATATATATATATATATATATATATATATATATATATATATATAAAGAATTAATGGAATTTATTTATAATCCGCCATATTTGTTGTATTTGTTTTATTTCTTCAAATGTTATTTTTAGTGGACACTCGTGCTTGAAATGCTTCACACCCGTTTTTACAGTTCATGTGCCGATTGACATAATACACACTGTTTAAAACAAAAAGCAGCGTCTATTTCAAGCACGGGCGTCCATTAAAATAACCTTTGAGGTAATAAATATATATGCATGTTTTTGTTTTGTTTTGTTTTTTTGTGAGTGTAAAGCATATTATTCTATTTGTTCATGCGTGGAAGTGCCTTAGCGTAAAAACATGTGTTAAAATCACCGCGCGCTTCTCTTAGTAGCAAAGATCTGCTTACGTAGAAACCTTCCATTTGGGCAAATAGGACAGTTTCTTTCTATAATTAATGATATTTCCAAAGATTTGCAAGCAATCAACCTAATAAATAAATAAATGAAATTAAATAAACACTCAGTGAAGAAATAAATAAACAAAACGAAACCGATCCTTTTCCTTATATATTTGATTAAACTCCGTTTTCAATTAATTAATTTAATTTAAGTTAGAATTAATATTACTATTTTTTTTTCATTTGAACTATAATGGAGGAAATATCCCTCACGGAAATAGTGACAGAAAAGCAAAGATGGAATTAATCTGCAAAAGGTCATTAATAAATTTAATCGCAGAAGTACGTAATTAACAACAAAAGCTATAAATCTGGTATTTTAAGAACATTACGGCTTAATAGCCTCATCATTTAACTGTAAATGAATAAATTTAATCTAGGATTAATTTGTGTTAAGGTTAACTGGCGTTGTCCGGGATCAATAACTGTAATCTTAGCTTTCTGCAAGCACTCCATTTTTTTCACATGTGAGAATTGTAGCAGGATGAATCGTGGTTTATTAACCCCGATAATGCAGCTACTCAAAACGTCCTGATCATCCGGCAGATACTGTCCGAAAAAACATCGCCGTACTGGAACAACCTCCCTATTCACCTGATCTTGCTCTTTATAACGTTTTTCTATTCCCCCAACGAAATTTATTATATTTTTCTGTGCATCAGACGTATTTTTTACACTAAAATTTGACGCCAAAATCTGATTGCGTCGGCAAGATAATATATATGCGAGCTAAAAATTGTTATGATAGGATGTTATGAACAGCGGTTTAACAAGTTAATTGCAATTACTCGATGTTTCTATTAACGAACGCGTAAAAATTTTTAATGATGGTGGAACGGAGCAACTGCATGCAGTAAGACACCTACTGGACGAAAAAAAAAAAAAAACCGGCGCTTTTTCAGGTGTGCATCTGGGTGAAGAATTCGCGGGTAAAAGAAATGATAGAATGATGAAGTCATTTATGAAATGTGGTATCAGTGATACAATGGACGCTGTCAAGGATGACATCCTCTTTGGTAATGATCTAGGATACAATGATAAAATAACTGAATCCTTTCCAATAGATAGTGAAAGCAATGAAGGCGAAATAGATAATAATCATAACATATCCTGCAGGAGGCCAGATTTTCTTTATTAATTATGCAGACCAGTAAACGAAATAAATATTGTTTAAAATAAAACTGAGCGTCTGCTTAAATACGCGTATCCACTGAAAAACTTTGATGCAATATAAATATTTCTGATTTAATAATTAAAAAGCTAATATTTCTTTATATATATATATATATATATATATATATATATATATATATATATATATATTTCATTAAATAATATAGACAAGTGTTGTCTATTTATTTTATGTAAATTCTTTTCATAACGTTTGATAAGCTTAATAACATTATCATTAAACGAAGAAAGAAAATCACAATATTGATCCATGTTTTTTTAATCCAATCTAAGCTTTCGGCTTACATAAGCCATTATAAATGATGTCAATTACTTTACAATATATTAAGCAATATACGGACAAGACAGTCATGATAGTCTGTGATTGTTTACATGGATGATTTCCAAGCAACGATAAACACGTGCATATAAGATGCTAGAAGCGAAAATCGCACCGCAGCTCATGACGTCACACATGACCACGCGAGAGTGAATTCGAGAAGTATTAAGTATAGGAAGCTGTTGGTATAAACCAATGTCTTCTGTTACCAATTATAGACATTTAAGGATATTTGTAGAGATTCCATAGTTGATTTTGTTTAGGTTAGGTTTCAACAGTTTGATGTATATGGCTTCAAGGATTTTTAGTTTTTGTCTATAGTTTTCATGTTTAAATATAAATGTGTTTTCGATAATTATACTTAAACTTGGAAATCATCCATAAATATGGATCAATATTGTGACTTTCTTTTTTTGTTTAATGATAATGTTATTAAGCTTATCAGACGTTATAAAAAGAATTTACATAAAATAAATAGACAACTCTTGTCTATATTATCTAATGAAACATGTATGAATGAAAAAATGCTGCCTAAATACACAAATGAGTTCTAATGGAGCTGTGTGCAGACAGATGAAGCCTAAGTCGTCTGGATAGGCATGTAGTAGTGTGTCCAGAAAAGACAACATTTGTACGAACTCAAGAAAAATTAAATAAAAAGAATAATCGTAGTACCTTGTCTGTCATCTTTAATGAAACACACACGCAAACACACACACACACACATATAGTCATCAAAATGCAAACTTTATATGTTTTCCTACTTCATCTCATCATTTTCACTTTTGTTCCGGTTATTATTATATCTCTTACAAACAGACACACACACACAACCCAACACAACATACACAAATACACATACACACACACACACACATATATATATATATATTAAAACAATAAGAAAGAACAGTAAGACTTACAATACGGTGTTCTTAGTAATTATTTATATTTAAAAAAAAAAACAAATAAATCTTAGAACATAATATAATAATTTACTATTTAAAAAATATGGTCCCATCGCTACACAGGAATTACTATGTTTCAAAACAGAAAGTAAAATTTTAAATTTATTTATAAGATTAAATTTAAAATCCATAGTTCTATTATCAAGCGATGTTTGATTCCAAGTAAATGATAATATATATATATATATATATATATATATATATATAAATACATATATATATATATATATATATATATATATATATATATATATATATATATATATATATATATATATATATGTGTGTGTGGGGTGCTTTCCACTTTGTCTCATCATCTTCAATTTTGTTTCGTATACTATTATATATCATACAAACACACACATACACATATATATAAGTGTGTGCGCGCGTGTGCGTATGTGTGTGTACATGTGTGTATGTATGCATGTATGTCTATGTTTTAGAATCATTTCAAAATATATATCAATCCGTAAAAATCTTAATATCTCAACTGACAACAACTAAATACAATAAATAAACATAGAAATAAATAGAATACAACTAAATAAAATAAAAAACCCTGAACTCTGTTTATTGTAGCGATTAGTGTTAATGTTCAAAATGTACTCTATTTATAACATCTGTCCTTCATAATGATAATTTCTGTTCACCCCAGAGATAGAACAGACAGCGAGGGAAAGGGTTGTACAACCGGGGTAATGACTGTGGGGCATTACGGTCAGAAACGGGAGATAGGCGTGTTACCATTTTTCACTCACCCTGGAATTTAATGGCTGTAGGGAACTTTGTTGTGTACCTCCGGAAGACGCTGGAAGAAAAATTGAAATCCGTAAATGGAGTCAAGAGATGATGGTATCAAGTAATATGAACTACGAATAGGAAGAGGAAGCTGTAAGAGAAGGAGAGGAACAAAGAGATAAGGACATAAAGAAAAATTGAAAGAAAAAAAGAAAGAAAATACAAGGAGTGAAAAAAAGAAGAAAATTGAGAGAAGAAAAATTAAATAAGGGATTAAGAAAGATTTCACTCCGAATGAAAATTAGGGAAAGAAAGAAAGAAAGAAAGAAAGAAAGAAAGAAAGAAAGAAAGAAAGAAAGAAAGAAAGAAAGGAAAAGATGGAAAGAGGAAGAAAAGGAATCAATTAAAAAACTGAGTGAAAGAAAAAAGAAAAATAGAATAAACAAAAACAAAAACACAAAGAAAAAGAAATATATATATATGTATATATACACGGTGGAGTAATGGATAGCAGCATGGATTGAGGTATCGGAGAGCTGAGTTCGAATTCCAGTTGAATCCATTACATTCACTTACGTGCTAATACCCTTGGGAAAGGTATGAATCCTCCCCCCCCCACCACCACCACCTCGGGGGTGCAGCTATGGGTAAATAGCAGGACGGACCTGGATTTGTAACCTTAGATGGCACCTGGCCTACCGCAGAATGAAATAGCCATCTACTGCGGGAAAAAATCTGGCTCGTCAATCATGTATTGAAAGATCTAAGTGATCTATGCCGCTTATAATTTAAGCGTTGTTTTTTGAAACTGTAAATTTAGTTTCTACCGGCCTAGAGATCGAAGAAAGGACATAGTGCTAAGCGGAATCCAAATTAGACATACACATCTAAGACACACACATACAATTACTCAAAGCAGAAGCTGCACTTTTGTGAATCTCCTGTGAACAATTGCTCAATGTTAAACACATCGGAATAGACTGCAATGAATCAACGAAAACGTATACTATGATGTACAACACCTTACCGTGTTTTTCAAAAATATTCCTGCTTCTTAAATAATGGTCTATCTAAAAGAAATACACTTCTTCCAACACTTATAGAAGAGAGCCTAGAATGCAACTACACAACTCCAAAATCCCAAAACATAAATAGAAAAAATTCTTCCAAACTACACTATACTTCCAATTCTACTAAAAATCTTCCACAACAGTTCCTTGATTGACTGTTCCACAAATCACCTTATTTGGCATGAAATGACTTACAAGGTGTTTTATTGGAATAAAGTGTCGCTGCCGACACTTGAGTTTAAACATAGATCGCTACTGAGCAAACACAGGTGATCCCATTATTGAATTAAATGACCATAGAGAAAACGCATATATGTAGGAAGTAGCTGACGACTAACGATCATTATTTTTATTCTTCTATACTATACGGATCGTCATTTCTATTCTATCCTCTATTACTATACGGACCGCTATTCTCTACTCTATTCACTATATTATTTCTCTATACTGATCACTATACGGGTTACTATTCGAGCGTGTAATACGACGCAAGTACTATTAGTGCGAGTGATATTAGAAGGCGTCTGACACCAGTATTGTTCAACGGCGTACTATAGTTTCTACTAGAACGAACATTACAAAAGTGACAAAGAGTATTCGTTGACATTACAAAAGTGTCAAACGAGTGTTCGTTGACCCCACAAAACAAGGTTAATATGCCCCATAACAAAAATCCAATTTAATCCCCTAGGTATGGATTAAATAGCAAGACAGATTTGGTCTGTCAACCAGTCTACCGCAGAATGTAATAGAAGTCTATGGGAATGCTTCTGACTGGTTACCTGAACCAAAAAGAGACATGATCGCCCAAGTCCTGTAAGAAGGCACATCGTTGTCTTACTCCCCTTTCTATTTCTACATATTTAATGAAATTATTTCTATCCATATGCAGAGAGTTTGATTCAAGTATAAGTTCTGGATTATTCCAATATCATTCTCAAATATATCAAGTTTAAAGAACAGTTCCAAAAGTTTTTGAGACGTATCAACAAACAAAAACCTCATTAATCATAATCGTTACCTTAATCTGCGTAATTCCTTATATCTGCTTTTAACGCTCTCCATAATCTATAAACCGCTTCTGCATTTGTATTGCTCTTTCTGGTATCATTCTGATGATAAATATTGCATTCCTTGTTCCAGTTTCTTTAATAAAACCGCATTATTCTTATCGTATTTCTACTTTAATTTTTCAATGCGCTCTTTTCATCAGAATTCGAATGATAAGCTTTATTAGGTGGATCCTTATGTTGTCCGTTGGAGCTCACATTCATTTGTACATTGCTTCCCAAACAGCTCTATGAAAATGCAATTACTTCGGTCTTCCGGTCTATCACCACTGTTGTATATTCCATTTATTATATTTGTAATCTTATCAATGCCGAAATCATCTAAGGCTGCTAGCGTCTGTACAACAATTCCGTCTGGCCCGGCTACTTTGCTTCTATTCTATTTCGTCGTGGAAGAGTTCTCCAATATATACGTTCTATCTCTGAAATATTTTTCTTTCTCTAATATCAGTGCCCCGTCTTTGGATATTATGAGCAGGTCTTTTGAAAACTGCATTTAGTTTGGAAACGACTTGTTACCGATATGTTTAATAAAAAAATTACATTTGCAAATATTACGTGACAAAATTGAAAATGCACGACTGTACAAATTAATCAACAAAAGACCGGAGCAAAAAACTTAAATTAAAATTAAAAACGGAATATGAGCTTGCAAAGTATAGAAAAAGCTACCAGGAAAGAGAAACTCTGACTTTTGAGGTAGAACAGATCCGAAGTTGGTAGTAAAACTAAATCAAAATGTCCCAGTCAATATTCGGAAAGAAAATTGGGATAATTTGCATAGCAGATAGTAGAACTTTTGA